GTTGACCGCGTCATCTCGGATCGCAAGTACAGCAGCAAGCCGCGACAGTACAAAGTCTGTCTCTTATACACATCTAGATGTGTATAAGAGACAGGTCTCTCATCTCCCTCGGCTCACCCTCAGCCTCATGCTCGTTACAGGCTCGGGCACGACGACATCCACACGGTTGTGGACCGATTGAGTAAGTACGCGCGTTTTCTTCCTTGCAAGTACTACTCCACGGCTCCCGAGCTGGCACGCCTCCTGCACACTGGTTGGATTTGTGGCCACGGTGTACCAGAAGACATAGTCAGCGACCGCGACACCCGCTTCATGTCGGCATTTTGGACTGCTCTCATGCAGGAGTCCGGCACGAAGATGAAACCAAGTTCGGCTCGGCATCCACAGACGGACGGGCTAACGGAGCGGGCACATCAAACCGCTCAAATGATGCTTCGTACACTCATCCGTCCGGACCAGAAAGATTGGGTTGACCGCCTCCCCGACATGGAGTTCGCCTACAACACTTCGGTGCATCCGGCGATCGGCGTGACTCCATTCGAGTTGCACCACGGTGGACGGAAAGGCCGGATCTTCGCCGACCTTCTCCTCCCTCGACCAGCCGACATTGACGCTGCCTGCTCTCCCGCTTCCGTCTGGAAGTACAGGGAATTGCTGACTCAAGCCCGCGCAAATATGCAAAAGGCTCAAGTCCGCATGCAGCAGCAAGCCAACAGGCGTCGCGTACCATGTCCCATCCGCGCCGGTGATCTGGTTTGGGTCTCCGCGGAAGAGTTTGCACTGGAACAGGATTTTTGACGCAAACTGCTTCCCAAGTGGTTTGGACCTTGGTCTGTGACAGTAGCCACGGGCGATGAGCCCGATGGCCCTTCATTTGTGATCAACATTCCCGAGCATCTGACGGTCCATCCAGTCTTTCACGCCTCGAAGCTGGTAACATATACACCAGCTAAGAGCGACGACTTCCCGGGCCGACGGTCAAAGGACCCTCCTTCTACGGATGGTCATCAGGAGGTTGACCGCGTCATCTCGGATCGCAAGTACAGCAGCAAGCTGTGACAGTACAAAGTTACATTCAGAGCATGCGATCCCGACGACACTCGGTGGATTTCAGGAGCAGATTTGAAAGCATCCGCACCGCTGATCTACGCTCACTACGAGCGTCAAAGGTTAGCCAAGGGACCCCCATGACCTGCCCCTCCCACCCGGACTGTGGTCCCTCCCTCAGACAGACAGCTTCGCCCTCGCAGGCAAGCTCGGTCTTTCAAGGAGGGGGGGGTGTGGCATACTGCGTAGCCACACGGGCCCTGCAGGGCCCATCCTGGACTTTCAGCCTAAAAGCCTAAAAGTTAGGGCTTACAGGCCCCGGTCGTTTCTGCCTGAAAGCTGAAATACGAGGGCCTGCAGGCCCTATTCCGTTTCAGCCTATTTCTGGGCCTTTCAGGCCCAGAGTTTTTCCAGCCTGAAACGGAGGGCCTTTTTCAGGCCCTCGTTGTTTTGACCGCCCCTAAGACTCAGGCACGAATACAGGGTTTCGGAACAGGCCAGAAATAGCCTGTTCCTCACGAGCTTGAGCAGGAGCTGCAGTGGCAGCCCCTGCCTCCGATCGGCATTGGCAAGAGCAGCCTCCTGGACTGCTCGCCTGCAGTCAGGAGGCACCCTGTAGTACATAGGCAGTTCCCATGCACTTCCAGGGAGGTAGTTGTCAGTAGGACGAGTAGTCTTCAGGATTCGGCCGCAGCACTCAGGAGGAGCGCTGCAGTAGTCTTCAGCGCTAGGCAGTAGTCTTCAGCGTTAGCTGTAGTCTTCGGCGCTGGGCGCCCATAGCCATAGCAGTAGTCTTCAGCGCTGGGCGCTGGTAGGTGGTAGATCGTAGAGTGGGAGAGATACTGGCGGAGGCCAGTGGTACTTACCTGTGGCGCCATCGCTCCAGCTCCATCTTCGAGGTACCTGCATCAAGGCGTCAACTTCACAGATTAGTACTGGACACAGAGAGAGAGAGAGTTCTTCGTCTTCCTCTTCTAAGTCCACCATCTCTTCTCACCCTCTCACCACCTGACTTCAGACTACGACAGAGAGAGACAGAGTTGTGACTTTTGACTTGACGACATTGGATCCAGACTTGACATTTGGGATTCAGACATTTTGACGAGGGACTATTTGGGCCTGTGCGAAGACTTGGTGTTGACGGCATTCCCATCTTCCCCTCCTCTTTGTCTAACCCCCTTCTTCTTCGTCTGTGTATGATAGGGGCTGGCGCAGTCTTCCTGTGTGAAGCGCCAGACCCCATTGACACCGTGTAACGATGATGATGACGTATGTTCAGAGATGCATTGCAATATTGATTGTCGGATCATTGGTATCTAGTCTTCCGCTGTGCTATCTTATACTTTGTATTGAGAGGTCGGTTCTTGTTCTGGTCTGCAACGTTACAGCATGCAACAGTAGCGGAGTGAGGACCATAATCACACACCACCATTTGAAAAAAAAAAAGAAAACTGTGCCTGCACGTATCTGAAAGCAGGCAATAACAGGCCTAGCTCAGGGCTAGCTCACACTACGAGTCTTTTACATATTTTTTGGACAGAATTGCGGCCAGATACATCCAGGTATGGCCGTGAATGCGGTCAGATACATTTGACATACTGCTAGTGTGAGTATGCCCTCAGGGCATACTCACACTATCATGTATTTTTGCAAAATGGCGAATGATACGTGATTTTTCGGGTCACAAAGGGCACATATTTTGCGTTTTCATGCAAAAGGGCATGTATATGTCAGCGGCCTGGACATCCACGGGGTCATGTATTTTGCGGGGACAGCTGAATTCCAATTTGAAACAATAATATGATGGCTTTCTTACTTGAACAGCAATTTGCATATGGGTCTAGATGGGATTTCTCTATTCTTTGCGGGGCTTACTAGTCTCTTGATACCTTTTTGCATGTTAGTAAGGGGGGGGGGGGGGGGGGGGGGGGGGGGGGGGGGGGGGGGGGGAGAGTGGGGGGGGGGGGGAGAGGGAGAGAGAGAGAGAGAGAGAGAGAGAGAGAGAGAGAGAGAGAGAGAGAGAGAGAGAGAGAGAATGACCTGTAAGTTCTGTGTTTTGTGTCAATAGGCACCTATTTGGCTTGCCCCTTGGCTGCGACCACTGTCGTTCTCAGCCTCCTTGGGGGACTCGGTCCCAGCCCGGACAACTTTTTCAATTGCTGCTTTGAACAATGGTGAACTGAAGACATCAGGACCATGCAAGAGTTGTGAGCCAGACGACATGGATGCTGCACAGGTCAGGTTGAACTTCTCGTATACCTTTCTCCTGACAAAGCAGTAATCTTGTTATCCTTCCCTCCCTTTCACTCTGTCAGTTCTTGCTGCTATGGTAGTAGAACAAGCCAGCTCCCGTTTGTGTCTTGTACATCATGAAAGGTGACAGGAATAAGAATGGTGTGGCTTTTTAGTGACAACGGCTGGGAGTGGCGTCAAGGGAGCTTGTCTGGTACTTGTTCTTCCATAAATGACACAGCGTTTGGAGTTCCAAGGAAAGGTTAAGGTACAAAAAATGAACTGAAAAGGTAGAGTGAGAAAGCAAAAAAACACAGAAGGATGTTAAAGATACCATATTCATTTGCAACCATGTGATCAATGCCCATTTAGCAAATTGTTGCAGACAATGCGTGGAGGCTGAGGAAGGGAAGAGTATATTTCGTAACTACATGTGCAGCAAAATGAAAATAGGAAATCCCATGGATGATGCTCATTGCCACTCCTTATAGGCATATTGTAATGCAAGCTGCTTTGCATCAGGCTCTGACTGGTTAGAGGTGGAAGAGGAAGATCGGATACAGGAGGCAGAGGAGAAGAGGAAAGAAAGGGGGGGGAGGGGGGAGGAGGAGAAGGAAGAGGTGGAGGAGGAGGAGGKGAAGAAGAAGAAAGAAGACAAAGAAGACAACGAAGGAGAAGAAGAAGAAGAAAAAGGTAGGTATGGCGTTGATAATGATACTGGTGGTGGAAAGCCCACAACTAATGGGCACATGTGATGAAGGAGATGGTGGGGGGGGGAGAAGGAGGAGGAAGAAAGAAGAAAGAAAGAAGAAGAAAGAAAGAAGAAGAAGAAGAAGAAGAAGAAGAAGAAGAAGAAGAAGAAGAAGAAGAAGAAGAAGGAAGGTAAGGCCTTGATGATGATAGTAGGAAAGCCCACAACTACTGGCACATGTGATCGAGGTGATGTTACTCATATCGTTGACTTGGCAATTGGGATGGAAAATGTGCAGACAGTACTGGAATCGGAAGTATCAGTTCATGAAGTGGATGCCGTGAGGGGTCATGCTCATGCAATGGAGAGAGTGAAGCACAATCCAGCTCTTCATTTGTCTGAGGAAACACCTGTTGGTCAGGTATGAGATCGGCATTGCACTGTCCTCCTTTGGTCTGTAAGACCCGTTCGATGGCTTCCTGGTGGCACAAAAAGCAGATATAAACACATATCCGTGGAGTACTTGTTGCTTGTTATGAAAGCAGGAATGGAGTACAAGAGATGCTCAGTTGATTAGTCTTTTGACCTTATCCCTAAAAAGTAGTAAAAACTTGTGAGGTAGTCTTGATTTTGTACTTCGTGGTTTGTGAAAGAAAAAGACTACCAATTGGATATCTTCCACCATCAAAGAAAGGGGAAGCAAAATGTTTGACAGTAGGACGGTGGCCCTCTGGCCTTAAAAAAAAAAAAAAGATTGGTTAAGGTATAGGCCCAGGTGCTTTTGTTCCCTTCTGTGCTTCAAACTCACATACTCCTGACCTCACTGACGCTCAAGTGGTTATTGGCTTGGTCCATGTCTCCACGTGCTGTTGTCACCAATCCGCCCTGCTGCAGTGAAGGGACCTTGACATTAATTCACCCGTTGTTGTCACTCTGCTTCCTAGGATCCGCCGACATTCACAGCGGGGCATTTAATGGAGGAAGATGGAAAACCTCATCTCGCCACAACGGAGCCAGGTCTGTTCAGGGGAGCCTCAACCCAAATGGTACGTCATACCAGGTGATCCGTGAGCTTACCCTTCACAGGCAGTTTGTAGACTCTGTTAATCCTAACCCAGGGCCAGCATGTATCCCATGGTGTTCAGGGATGGGAATCTTGCCTCGGCCAGTGCCTGAGCCTCTTTCCACTGGTCTGGTGTGTGTGTGTGCGTGTGTGTGTGTGTGTGTGTGTGTGTGTGTGTGTGTGTGAG